TTGCGTCTTGACACGCAGCGCCAAGCCACGCGTCGCGGGCGGAGGCGGAGACGGCGGCGGTAACTGCCGCGTCTCGATGGGTTTACAGCCCGCGCGCTGTCGGGCGCGACGTAAAACACGCGCCGGCGCGACGCACTGAAAGCGCGAATCCCACTCGTCCGTCAGCGGCCGCGTCCATCTGGCGCACGGAGCGCGCCCCGCCCCGCCCCGCCCCGCACCTCGCCACACAGAGGGGGAACTGGCTGTGTTGGGGCGCGTACGCTTTAAAAAGAATGCTCTTTCAGTGAAGACTCCCTTTTTTCCAAGTTTCTCCCCCCCCCCACCTACTCGCTTCTTTATTTCTGTTTTATTAACTTTTCGGACGTGTGTTCGAAATGCCGTGTTTCAAGTGGCGTTTTCTTATTTTCTTTAACCAATCGATACTGTCCCTCGTTCTCTTTTCGCGTATGATTTTCAGCCTTCTTTTTCTTTCTTATTTCATCTTCTATTTTTTGATAGATAGTCTTGTTTTTGTTACACATTGCTCTGCTATCTTTGGAAAACATGCAAGTTACATTTTACTAAATTTTATAACATAAACGAATTTAAATATTTAAAATATTAAATTTAAGATAACAAGGTGTCAGGATAGAAATCATAAAAGAATAACTATTTAGTTCAAACACCTGCACATTAACCTAGTTCACAGCGACTAAACGAAACAAATAAATACTAGGTTTGTCGTCAAGTGAAACTATTTTTGTCCCTGGACCGCATAGAAGAAACCTTGTGGAACCATCGGATGCTACCGAGCAACGTCCCTTTCGTCCAACAGCGAAGTTTCGGCACGCGTTCACTATTGGTGACAGTTGACTCTTAAAACATGATTGTGCCAATGGGATTGTCTGACTGTCGCATAAATCCAATCGCTCGCTCTCTCCCGCCCACAAAATCGCCAATTCGTTGGCGGGTGGTCATTAGAAAAGAAATCGGAGAGATCGCAGGAGAAAGTATCGGTATGCCTTGTGGATCGCCATCGCATGTATACCATTGCGATGTTTACCTCAACCATTGGGATGTTTTACTACGCGTACGTGTCTGCATCATCTGATTACTTCGTCTCCGTGCGCATCGTCTGCTACGGTCACTGGTCCCTTAAGTGTGGGGCATGTTATATCCCGTGAAGTGGTGGTGTTCGTTCTCCTCCAGCAAGGCGCCGCCCCAGGTAGAACGAATTCGAAGCTCTCCAGTGGTCTCCCGATAAGTGTGTATGTAAGTGTGAGAGTGTATTTGTAAGTAGAAACGAAGGGACAAAGATAAGGAAGACCGCCCAGCGTTGGCATTCGCGTAGCGTTGTTCGGAGAAACCGGAAAATTATCGATCTGAGCAGCCGGGCGTTGGAATTCTCCTCCTGTCCAAACAGCGGCAGGAAATTTGATGCATCGTGTGAATCGCTTTGAAACGTACAGCGCGATGATAACAGGGAAAGCCATCATTTCCATCGGAATCGGGGGCAAATAACAGAACTGCGACCGGAACTTACACGAGCGGGACCAAGAGCGGAGATGTAGGAGAGACGGTGGAGAAATGAAGAGGCCTATTTACGGGTCGGTAATGAAAAGAGGTATTTTTGAATTGAGAAAACTTGACTTAAAAATGCGAACACTCGAAAATGGTTGGGCAGAGCGCAAATGCAATTCATGCGGTAAATTGCTCTTCCGGCCACGGAGCGGCCGACGCGCCGGCGCGCCGCCCCGCCGCTTGGCGCCTCGCCCCAGCCCCTCGAGGAGGCGCCCGCATGGCCTTCTGCGGGGGAGAGCGGGTGGGGAAGGGAGGGGAAGGGGCGGCGTGCGCGAGAAGACTGCACACGAGAGGGGAGACGTGCGTCGCCTCCCGACGCCACCGCGCGGCGCCCTCATCTCCCCAGCCGCCTTCATCGCAGAAGCCCATGCCGCGAGCGTTCACCTCCGCGCCCAGACACGTTGGCCATTCGCCGCGGTGCCGGCTTAGGTGGCTCAGGGCATCAGTTCAGTATCCTCACCATTCACTTACACACACATGCACTCACACTCACATGCACTACTTGTCCTATCCTCACCCTTCACACACACTCACATGCTCTTCACTATCACACAGATCGAGAGCTTACTCTGGGAGATATGTGGTTTTGGAAAACTCCGTTAGCCGATTGGTAGATTGTTGCTGGAACTCCCCACCCTGTGCGGCAAGGTCACCGCAACCCGCCATGATAAAAAATGCACTACTCTAACGGGACTAATGACTGTAGCCTGAATCGCTAATCAGTCAATGAATGACGGGATTCGCCGCTTTTAGTTCCTGATGTAGACACCAATTCGGTATGACGTCGGTGGCGGCTGGGTTATTGTTACAAAAGAGAGCTGCTTAACGAACTTGAACTGAAAAATGTATGAAATCACACGTTAGTCAACAGAAACTGTTCATCATATTGTATTGTATTTTGATCAAAATTTATTCGTTTATTCATTATATTCATTTATTCACTATCGTGTATCAAACCGATATTTTCTTTCCGTTCTTCCCTTCTCTCCGAAAGTATTAACCAACGGTTCCTTTCCTCGATTTTATCATTACGGTATGTGATGAAACGTGTTCACTAGTTGAAGTAAGCTGTATTAATGTACTCATGTATTTAATTCAACTTTTTAATGTGGCAAGGATACGATGAACTAGCTGACTTTAAAAGTCCATTGGTCGTTTGGAGTGGCTGGCTTGATATCAGTTCCTCGCGACTTTTAAACACCTCTGCAGGCCAACTCTCTGAATACAGCACATCGCGGTCTTGGCAACCCAAGCCTGGCGGGCGTGCACTCGTTTCAGGAACGTCCTTGAACTACCTTGAGGACCGCGCTCTGGACGCTGCACTCGGGCGGAATGCGACTGCGATGTTTGGTCAAGTTTTTCTCGTGCCTGGCTCGTATAATTATAGCTGCAATTTCGTGTGCATTACAGGCCGAGTGCCGACAAAACTGCGAAGAGACTTCCAATCCTACAGACCTGGTGCACTCTGCGATACTTCATAAAGGCTGTGATTTAGTACCACAGTAACATTTTCGCGGATTTTATGACCGTTTTATTTCGCGAGTCGCTATGCAATTTGTGGAGTTAGTCATCGCGTCAAATGCTGCATCCGTTAATTGTCACGTCTGAGATATCGAGTTACAAATTAAGCAAACGGCGTGGAGCCGTAACCCCACTTTCTTAAATCACTTCAATGTCGCTATGGTTTTCAAATATTTGGCATTTTATCACGTGTAAAAAACAAACATATTTTCGAAATATGAAGACGTTGGGTTCTGTTTAGTTCTTTACAACGGTTGTTTTATTATTGAATTCTCAACCAAACAATATTATCAATTAATTGTGTTCAATTAATTAAGGGAAATCGTACTTTAAGAAAATAGTACTTCGATATTTATGGGTAAATAATATTTTAAAGCGCGTATAATAACTACGAGTTTATCCCGATTTTTCTTAGGAAGATAAAAACTCATTATAATGACTTTTCACATAATGGAAGCTTGGTGAAAATCTTCCTTCACAAGTCAGTGCTAACAGAATGAAGTTACTAACTTTTGGAGACAACTTTTGGCTGTATTTCGCAACAACAGCTTAAAGAGGTAAGAGACCTATTTAAAAGCACATAAGACTGCACATTTTCCAATTCTTTCTGACTGTGAGCAAATAGAAATTATTACTGAATAAAATACCACCAATCGTTCAGTGAAACATTCAAATACTAGCATCACAACTCCGCGTGATAGTGCAGATTAAAGAAAATGTTTTTAAGTGACACTGAAGGCAAATCACTATGATGAAATATCAGAAGCCTCTCATGTTCCTCTCAAAGCATTTGCGTCGAGAAGAAAAGCAATCAAATATTCAAGAATTTGCAATCAATGCGGAAACATAAAATTAATCAGTCGACTACCTTGCTAAGTGTATTAATGAAGTATTTAATTTATTACAACATTCTGTACGATACCTTAACGGAAGAAGATCCAATAGATATTTAAAACCACGAAGATACCAGATAAATAATATGAATGCGAGACCAAGTAATACAAATTGTCCAGGATTTGCTTAGTAATTCAAAGATTAATAACCAAGTGAAATAAAAATACACCATTTGTTCATCTTTTCAGACTAAAATCTGAATTAAATAATCTAAATCTGTTGCCTTTTATAAATACTTGATTAGACATTCCAATCCATCATTAACTTCACATCCGAATCGATCAGACAATGCATTGGCGTGTTGCAAGGAAGAAATTATCAGAGAAACAGAAGTACGAAACACAAGCCACAACAAACCCTAACGAAGTGAAACGAGCCAACAAAACTGCCGAAATACGTATGGCGACGTACGACTGACAACACCTTTCGATTTTTTGAGTACGGGAACAAACAAAAGAAAAAAACAGCTCCTTTAAAGAACAATTTCCGAAAGAAACAACCTGAACCGTTCCTAACAAAGCGACCGCAGCCAGCGGAGGACCGAGCCAAAATCCGTGCGTGTCTTTAGTGGCCATCGGGCGGAGCCTGGCGGGTTCTCGAGGGGGCCGTGAATGCGGGTGCGGGAGGGGGGAGGCAGGCCCCCTGAATGCGGCGTCTGTGCGTCGAGGCGGCGACAGCGACGGTGACGGCGTTGGCGGACGGTGGCGGCGTCAGGTCACGTGTCTCACGCCCTCGGCCGACCCTCCCACGCGCAGGCAACTCGCATTTGTCTCGGACAAAACACGATCTCCGAATATCCGTAATAGATTTATACCTCACAGCTTTTTCTTGCTAATAGTACTTCTTGTGATATTATACTAGAGCGATTCAGTTTCTTTTATCCTAAGTTTATTCTATTGTAAAAGATATAAAGAATTATTTTCGAATTGTTTTAAGCCCCTTCGTTTGAAAAAAGCTGAATATTAATGTAACTGCAATATGTTGTGAAATCAAACCATGAATTTCAATAGAAATATATTGTTCAGTATACAGAATTAGAAGAGGCATTTGATTGTTGAAACTATTAATACCCTCGAAATTACTACATGTTATTGTTTAAGAAGCACATAAACCACTGTTCCTCACAAAATATTATACGATGCAAATAACCTTGAAAATGCAAGAATAAAAAATAGGAAATCAATTAATTGTCATGATTACAGAGACGTAAAGTGCAGTACTGTGCTCCCGCCGTACTGGCATGTTGAGGTGGTTGCAGATATTGCGCCGTGTTACTTGTATATATAATTAAATTCTGAATATATTGTGGCAATTGTCGAAATTTGGCGGCTAGCTAACGGTGTCCACATACCCACACCTAGTTGAATTCCCACGCTTGGGGGGAGGGGGGGGAGACACACGGCGAACTTGATAGATCCCCTTCACCGCAGCTTGTTAACTCCACCTGCCTGACCTTGTCTTCGTGACACAGCTACAGAAGCAAATGATTTTAAAGGAAAGCTACTACTATATTGTTGCCTCGACCGGCAATCGAACCCGAAACCACGCTACGGGAAGCTAGGGCGCTATTATTATTATTATTATTATTATTATTATTATTATTGGCCTATAGGCCATTACTGACCACGCTATACGATTTACGTGTGTAATTCTTTTAGGATCAGCTTCTCAGCTGTATCTCTCAGTACAAGGTTGTTACGCATTGACGTGTGAATTATGATATGATAGGATGATGATGGGGGGTGGAGGGACAATCGCACACACGACCATGTCTACGCAGAACTCGAATCTGCAGCTTCCTCGGGGCAGACGACGGCTGCCGCAACCGTCTGCGCCCGAGGGCCGACTATTACTATTATTATTATTATTATTATTATTATTATTATTATTATTATTATTGTTGTTGTTGCTGTTGTTGCTGTGAAGTGCGTGGCGTGGCCGATGTCTTACTGTGTGGTGGTGTGCGCGCAGGGCAAGGCGTCGGGCGAGCGCGCGGCGCTGTGGATGCGCGCGTGGCTGCAGGGCCACCTCTTCGCCCTGGGCTGCTTCCTGCACCGGCACGCGGGCAAGGTGCTGTTCGTGGCGCTGCTCGTGCTCGCCACCTTCTGCGTCGGCCTCAAGTCGGCGCAGGTGCACTCGCGCGTCGACCAGCTCTGGGTCGAAGGTAAGTCCACACAGTGGAATACACATGTTGTTGCTTCAAAATTAACTTCTCGCCATAGTACGTCACACGCTTTTTTTGTGGTTTTTGTTATTTAAGATTCATCAACATCTAGGTCATTAGCGACCACTATTGCGTGTAACGGTATGGTGCCTATGAGGATGACACGATATGATGATAGGGGGTGAAAGGACGAACATAATACATCCATGCCCAAGGCGGGACTCGAACTCGCGATCCTTCGGTCCGAAATCGCTACGGCACTACTGCCTTAACGATCTCGGTCTTCCGAACCGGCATACGCGGTTTTGTAGCTGTTTTTGACGTAAATAAACTCACTCCACATGCCCTTCGTAGCACACACATATTTTTGCCTGCAAGCGGTGAAGCACATTAACGAATTCGCAGTCCACCCTGTGTGGAGCTTCTGCGCAATTGTAAGGCGAACTCGAAGAGATAGCGGAGGAGCATGCAGAGTTTTTACAAGGCGAAGAGTTCCCAATCGACAGCTCTATCGATCTTCTGTGCATGCGCCGTTAGAGTTTCGCATCACTTTTGTCATTTGCCCAAGTGCACACGATCGAGATAGTAGTATATCGCTGTACGCTGTGTCGTGCACAAAAACTCCCTGATATTAGCAGAATACGCTAGAGAGTTTCAAACGGTAACTGATCACGTTATGGCGCTGTATGGGGTGTGTTCCCACCTGTCGCGGGAGTTGGTGCTGCTCTATATTCCCGTGATGCAACGTAATGTTAGTGATATTAATGTTCTTAACTATTACCAGAATAATAGTAAATATATTTATTTAATAATATAATTATTTAATAGACAGATTGCTGTTGAGCTATTGTCCATCAAACTGGAATCATGAGAATGCGGCATTGTGAGAATTTAGCGCGCACTCCAGTTCGGATCGAAAATGCTACTTCTATTTACAACAAAACCTCTCTGTACACTTCACACGAAATTAGCCTCGTGTTTGCCTAATACCGAGGTTCACTGCTCTCAATTCTGTTTCTTCTTCGCCTTGCTTCTTTTGGATGCTTGTGGTGGCGGGGCGGTCCGGTCGTGACGTCACGCGAGTAGGGGCCGTGTAGCGTCGGTTGCGTCAGAGCGCTGCCGCCGCGGAAGGGACGGGAAGGATCCAGACGCCCAAGCTGTGGATGACGTCACATTCCTGTCGAGTGAATGCAGATGCAAATGCAAACCCTGAATACTTTCCTACTCCTGGTCAGTTGGCTGTTCATGTATCTTGTTACTTCGAAGTGCGTACCCGAGTTTGTTTATAAAATATTTCATCGTCGGTCATATTGCATCAGTGATTGGAAGTTGCCCTTTGTTAGTACGATAAATGGCTAACGACTAAAAATTACGTTGAAGCTTTAAAATATTGTAATGATGTAAGGATTGAAATGACTCCCACCTCAGGAGAATTTATTTAGACTCTGTGAACAAAATAGTATAATTTATAATACAAGCAAATTCTGCAATGTTTAGGAAACGAGAATATTGTTTTGTTTCAAAATAGCATAGTTGTCACTTGTGAACATCATTAAAGTTATTCATATATTCTCTCGAACGCTAAGCGATTTTTTTCGGTTTGAGTGTTATATTTAATGCTACCGTTATCATTCTCAACTGGCTCATGCATCTTTTTGTTTTATTGTACCTATTAATTCCAGCAAAACGGTGTAAATTAAACTTAATCTTCAATTGACCCAGTTCATAAACGGGCGACATTTATAACGTTTTGACTACAAGTACATTGATTATTTGCGAATGATTGTGGTGGGTTAAGACAAGAATGTCTTCGAAGATATGAATGAAGATCGCAATCTTTCCAAGCAGAAATGTACGACACTAAACTTCTACCATTTTCAAAAGGTGGGCTTCACAAGGTGGGTGGCTGTTGAATAGGCCGTATCCGAGCCCGCAGCGTGTGTAAGCTGATGTGCTGTCAAGCTGAACGTCAGCGGCATGTAAAGCTGTAGGTCAGATGCAGTGTTGTTCCAAATTTTGCATTGCTGTTGAATGTTTCCTCGGCCTTAACCGTGAATCTGTTGCGTGAACCTGTTGCGTGCGGATTTGCCGGTGCATATGGAGTAGCAGCGCGTGTGGCTGCGCACTCCGCAGCGCGCCGCACGACCGAGCCACACGTCCCAGAGGACGGGAATGGGTCGTGCGGGTCGTCAGTGAGCCGGCGGCGCCGGAACCGGAAGTGAAACGTGTTCACGGGACGTGCGATGGCGGCGATACCCGGCCGCTCGCCACCCACTTAGCGCCACCGACTGCGGGGTCGTGACGCAACTACATGTGGCGGCGACGACGCCTCAGGAGGATAGAGCCGTCGTCGCCGGTTATTGCAGGCCTAGTTATTGCAGTAATTGAAACGATGGTGATGACAGGACTGACAACCTGAGAGTTCCGGAGTGACAAGCCGGAGGCGGCACGAATTGAATATACAATGCATGTAATGGGAACTGGAGGAAATTGACACATGTTATTAAAGTATGTACCTCGTACTACGTGTTATATTAACAAATAAACATTAAATATGAAAAAAACAGTTTATTCAACACAGGTTTACAAACAAAATCCACACTATAAGCCAGTCCACCAATTACATAGTAGATAAAGTATTAAATCCCTCGATCCCGCACTATCACGTAGGCAGCCGATACTTGCTCGCAGAACAAGTTCTCACCCCTCAGTTACCCCAACTGAGCCAACTCGTTTCCCAACTGTGCCAATAGTTCCAACTGCTAACCGAAGCTTGCAGCCCCTTCTTTATATTGCCAGCGATGTCACCCCTGTGACTCGCCACGCCCCTCTTCTCACAAGAGCAGTGATCCCCGCCATTTTTCGAAGTCCCAACACAATATCGCCGAGTTTGAAAGTAGTTTGTTACAATGCAAAGGGAGTGTGGCAACGGGTGAATTGGCAGGCGTGGAAACGACGTAGACCCAAGCTCTGTCTCCCGATGGAGGTCTCTCCTCCGGGGCGGCGGAAGCGACGAGGGCGATGATGGCTGTGAAGAGGGCGAGGCGGCCTTTGCGGCCAGGAAGCTCCTGTTTAGGGCTCCGCCAGGTGGCCCAAGTGGCGCCGTAAAATTTCACCGACCCGCCCGCCTTCTGACACTATCCGAAATCGCGCGCGGGTTGAACACGGCGCGATTCCGCCACAGACAAGAAAAGTGCGGCCGGCCCGTTGGTCAACTTACCGGGACACCTTATCTCCAATTGCCTGCCACTTGCAGGGGCTGTAATTCAAATAAGGAAATTTATCCGCTGTAATGTTGATAGTCGGTTGTTTTGACGAGACTGTCTTGTTCTGTGGACTCGTTATGTTTAAATAATTCGGTATAAATTATTTGTAACGAGACAGCATGTTCGGATGCATAAAACCTTTCAATATCTGAGTGCAATTATTTATGAAATCTGAGGTAAATTTGCTTTGGTAACAAATGCGTAACCGTAACCATTTCAAAAACGTCATTCTATCAAAACGACAAAAAAAAGAGCCCCAAGCTTCTACATTAAAATCGCTATTACATATTACTTTGCATGGCTATTTACCTCGTTAAAGCGTAGGTTAATTTTCTCTGAAATTCAATCTCGCGTGGAATTACGGGAGCTTCATCAGAACTAACGTAAAAAAATAAATGGGAAACAAAATAAAGCAGCGATTGTCAGGTGCCATTCTTCCTTTGAAAACCACAGGTATCTTCCAGTTCGTAGTAACGGAAAGGTAATTGGAGGACTCCATTAGCTGGGTCCCAGGTGGGCTCCCCGCTGTGGTTGCACGAAGGCCACCACAATAGAGGAGCGGAATGTTCGACTTTACAGGCTCATGAAAATGTAGGAACAAATCTTGCTTTCCAGATTGGATAAGTTT